TTGTTGGATAGTGATGATTAGGCAAAAACTTTATATATGGCTATATACAGGGAATTAGCGAATCCATTCGAATCCAGTTTCAATATCTGCTTTGCCCAGGATGTTGCTGACAATCGTCATACCCGAGCAGAAGTCTAGCGCACGGGAAGCGGCTGATCAAATCGCAGCAGAATACATGCTCCTTTTGTCAAATATTCTAAGGGTTTGCCTTTCACAAACCTAATAGGAACCCATTGCCGATTCGATCTCCTGAAGGTGCGCGGTGAGAGAGAGAGAGAGATCGCCAGATCAGACTTAAGCCAATGCCCATCACAATTGCCGCACCAGAAAACAAACAGCTTGGGCACAGCTGCTAGTTCAATTAACCTTGTATTGCGGCGGTGTAAGGATCTGCAGCCACGCAGGCTTTTGAAGTTCACTCATTGCGGCCACACGGAAGGCATGCCTTAGCAAAGTTAACCAAACAATCTTTCTCACCTGGCATGTGGGAAAGCCCGAACAACTGCAACAACAACTCCTACTGAACCCACAGACTGCAGACAAACATGGTCAAACCCGTTGGTCGAGCGCGCTCGAGCACAGACTCGGGGGCCACACCTGCCCCAAAGGAGCCAGCACTTTGGTCATTGAAGGCGCCAGCCTCTGGATTCAGTGACCCATCAAGTGAACGCCAAAATCATGTTCGCTTTCCAAAAGATACCGTCAGCGTTGCTTATGGTTGGGCAATTTTGTGCAACAGGTATACGATGCTTGTGGCCAGAAACTTGAGGCAATGAGAAAATCTAGAGGCATGGGCGTCGTTCACACACCCCAGGAAGGTCAATGGAACGATAACACCAAAAACGTGTCCGCTTCCTGGCAGCCTGCGCAAAATAGGCGCAGATGTAGATGGGCTGAAATGCGTAGCATGCATACATGTGTGATATATATATATATATACATTCAGTCAATGGCTTGCACTACGCTCCCTTTTCCTTTCGCTTGAACTCCAGTCAATGGCTTTCTGCCAATTGCATTGGTATCCATGCATCAGCATGGACCTGA